TTTTTTATGACTACTCTTCAATGTTTACATGATAGCAAAATCGATATTAAAAGGTAACATACTTACAGATTGACTTCGGCGAAAATTCTGAATTATTTTGTCATATTTAGATTCTGATAAATTTATCCTTGACAATGATTTTATTCAAAGGTATTTGGGATCACTTAACTTGCAATAAAAACATTTACTAAACAGTTAGATTTTCGCACCCTTGTTTTACTACTTTTTTTATCTTTATTGTCGAAATTGTCAAATAATTAAAGGGATCTTTAACATTAACATTAATTCACTATTGATTACCCCGAAGAGCGATGTTTTATGGTGTGGAAAAAACCTAGAGGCGGCCAGACCAAAACATGGCACAAATTCATGAAGTCACTGACAAGTGGACTGAGTCATGCTGGTAGGTGTAGACTACCTGGTTGTGATCCTCGAGACGATAGCAACTGATGGTTAGAGACCTTGAATTAAATGGCTCAAAATCGTTTGCAATGACACAGGTGCATCCACTCTTTATGTTCTCCCAAACTCTAATCTTCTGAATTCTTCTTATCCCTTTCTTTTTTCTTTTTCCAAATTTATTTCACTAGATTATACTCGTTGAATAACATCCACAAACCATAATCTTTCCCATTACTGTTTATACTTTTACTACCTCTACCACTATGGGTTTTGAATCGACAATTGTATCTGTGTGCTAATGTAGTATGGCAACTTGTGCTGATATGTGTGCGTACGAAGTTTTACGTTATTGCTGACTGACTGAAATCACATTTCAATGAAGTTAGTATCAACCACAGCTATGTTGACTGAAATACTAAGTATATCACAAAAATAACACATTTGATTAATCCGTTAGTTGGACGCAAATATAAAACCTGGTACATATTTAGATTGATTCAAATTGTTAGGCCTCATTAACATAACTGAATGAAATTTTCAGGGTGGATGCCAAAGTCGTAAAATTAGTAACACTGTTAATGATAATGAAGGATTTACATGATACAAAATTATCGGCTTTTCGTCAGTTAAATAAAACAAATTGAAAATCTAGATAAATCAGCCTTCATATTAATAAAAGAGTGTTCATAATTACTGTTCTTATCAATTGTTTTAGCTTGAAACATTGAAGTGTTGTAACATGGTTGTTTGCCAAATCATCAGTTGTTTTATGACCTTGACTTTTATATTTAAAAAGTTATTTGTTATTTGATAAATTATAATATTTGACTTGACTATTTCATGTATGATTTGCGATGGCAACTTGAACCGATGCATGCATGTGGCTGGTCTTGCGTTGTAACTGACTGATTGGATATATTTGACCGAACGGCTAGTAGTTTAATCTTATCTAATCTATTCCGTTGATATTTGTTAAATAGTTGGGGGAGCAAGTTGTCACTTTACCTATTGCAATCATTTCACTAATCCTATCAATTGATTTGAGCATTTGTATTAGGAAGAATCGAGAATCCTTATTTAGGAGATGAGACACACAATCAAGTATGAAAATTCGCTTCTTGTTAAAGTACTTCATTGTTGCTATTCTACTATACTTATGCATCCATGTTTTCAAAAATTCCCTTTTTAGATATATATTTATGCTAAACATTTCATTTAGAGAGGTTCTAGAACTGTTTTAGGATTCTTGCTCTATGATCTTACATAGCTTGAGGAATTTGCTTGTGAGTGAGATAAAATTCAAATGGTTTTCGGAAATCATGATTTAATAGTGAATAAATTGAAACCCTATCAGTATTAGTGCTTTAACTTGATAACAGTTCTGTAGGAATCAAAACTCTTTGAAATAAATTTCTGATTCTAATGTACAATCTTAAACTAGAATCAGGTCAAGCAGATTTAAGTCTGGCATATCTTATTATGTAAAATTAGTTGTTAAACTGATTGTCGTTTAAATTTTATTCTAAATCAGTCATTTTGTAATTAGGGTAGAGGCTGACATAAATGTCTACCAACCCAAGTTACTGTACCACATTATCATAACGAGATAAAATGGAAAAGAAGAGTAACAAAGGAATAGCAATGATAGTAGTTGCAACGATGGTGATAAAGATCAGATGTTAATAGTCTTATTCGAAAAGAATAGATGAATTCGATGAATAAAGCGTATGGAGATAAACATGAAGAGTGATTCTGATCCTTGTCACTCATTGTCTGTAATAGCTATTGACGGTTATCTCATAGACACCAATCAGGTCGTCTGGATTTACTAACACAATCCACTCAAGGACTAACTAGTCTGTTGCCACATCTTGAATCGGATGTTACTAACATTCTTCAAATCTACTTCTACTCCAATGAATGTTGTGCATCAAAGTAGGCTGTATTTGTGCATATGTAACATAGGATTTAGTCTCATCAATAAACCCCGCCTTTTTGTTATTAATTTTTGATGATGTGTTATACTCGTTAGATCTCAGTGTATTTGTTCATCTGAATATAATTAAACATGTGTTGATGGATTAATTCAATGTACATTGGTAATGACAGTCACGAGACCGTTGAGTCTAGTGATGGTCTTTACGGTCATTATAATAAATCAGCTATTCTCTTTAATGTTATTGTTTTAAGGACGTTTATTTAAAGACAACAATTTGTATGATTTCATTGAAAGACGCTAAACATACGTTAAACCTTTCTTCAATTTTCTTAGTCTAAGGTTTCAATGTATAGAATAATGAGTACTATGGATTCCATACGTCAACAACTTTTCAAATTCAACCTGTAAAATATATCTAGTGCACTGTTCGTTGATTGTTTCCTAAAGAAGGATTTTTTCCATAATTTTTTTACCAGGTACTTGGGTACGAGCCACACTTTCAGCTTAAATGTTAACCATACTATCTATTCACCTAAACCGAAATAAGTGGGACGAGGTTCGAGTCTAGGACTGGATGTTGAGCAGCTTAAGCACTTAACTATCAATTTAGAGTATTTCATCATTTCTGTTTAAATGTTTTCGAACAGATCACCATATTTTCATAGTTTTAATTACGTACCGATCTCAGCTAGACCATCACGGAAAAACAAGAGATACTGGACAACTGTTTAGTCCCAGTATGGGACGACCCTGAAGTGCGCGCCCGCGACCTCTCATCCAGGAATGGATCTTTAGACTTCGGTTCTCGCGCGCAAACGCTTTTTATCTGAAAAGCTGACACGGAATCAATGGTGTACTTGTCTAACTTCAGTCGAGTTATGGTATTACACAACCAACTATCTCACACTGTATGTGATTGAACTCCACGTCATCGTATGTCTGTAAGCTCTTTTGATTTTCAAACTTACTACTGTATCGGTATTGAAATGAGGTCACTGCCTTTAAAGTAGCAATGACTGAATTCTTACACCAGTTTTACCGATTCGATTATTTATACATAATCTCATCAATAAATTTCCTTCATTTATTGATGTTTTTTGATTGAATTCATCATGGAGTGGTACTACTTCAAGTTCGCTAATAAAAGTTATCTAACAACAGACTTATTAAATAATGCAACATTAGATAATCGACTGTTTGATTGTACCAACAATATCAGTAATAATCACAATACCCTTGAATATTTTCAGTTTGAAGATGAAAATAGCGATAAAGCTAAAATGATCAAGGCATCGGCTGAATGATTTCTGAACTAAAAAAGTAATAATTAATTCAGTTCATTTGATTCAGTCAGCTACAAGGTAGAACCAGTCACATATATATATCGGTCTAAGTTACCACACCTCATTAGCACAACAAGATGAACACCGGATTCATAGAAGTAGTTAACTCAATGGTGGTAATATATTAAAGAAAGATTGTGTATAGGGGTATAGTACAGGAAGAAAGAATTAGTTCGTAGAAAGAAAGATATGAGACGATTTTAATCTCATAGTTTAAATGAAGACAGACTATATACATCTACGTCATTGTGATCGATTCTGAGACATGTCACCCAGAGTCTCCAACCACTGGTTACAATAGTCATGCGAACCCCAACCAAATAGTATGCATCTACCAACATGGCTCAGACTAGAAGTTAGTGACTTTGTTGACTGATGCTAAGTTTTGGTTTGGCCACCCCTAACTTTCTTCTAGCCATCTCCAACACTGGTCAGCATTGCGCGTTGTGGTAATCGGTGTTCAGGCATACGTAACTCGTGACTCAACAACCTCACTCGATGAAGATTCATAACCTCATCAACTGATTTACAATCATTCCTTAATACCCTGTGTATAATTCATTATTACTTGCCCGGTGATACCAGAAGATGCGAGCAATATTTCTAAGACCTCTGTGGTCGAATACTAGTAAATTACGAGTATCTTCTACTCTTAATGGCCACGTTTCGCAGCCGTAAAGTAAAACAGAACGAACTGCTGGGCAGTATACTCGTCCGTTAATGGACAGATGGACATCTTGCTTTCGCCATATGTGACGTAAGTTGGCAAAAGCCAAACGAGCTTTTTGGATCCGTGCTGGGATTTCGTCAGACGTTGTCCCATTAGGGCTGATCAGACTTCTAAGATAAATGGAGTTGTCAACGCGTTCGACTATTTCACTCCTTATCCTTAGTTGAGATGTTGACGCAAGCCAGTCCTGAAGCAACAACTTGCATTTAGAGTGAGAGAAACGCATCTCAAACATCCTAACATTGTTTATTTGATTAGTGAACATCTATTGGATGACTTTTTAACAGAGCACACAATTTGAATAGGACAACCAGTTGATTGTCAGTTAGAAAACCGTCAATTCCATACATCATTTGCAACTATTATTTATTATACAATTGTTTTGTTTTTGGTTTGTTTCAAAATGTCATCTCAATTCATGTTTATTTTTTCCTTGTTCAATTACTAGGTTATCACTGTATGAAATATATTCCTTGAAATAAACACTTCTAACAATACTATACTGGTTAGGTTGAGTAGTATAGTAAAATTTCTAAAAAGTATTTTATTCTCATCTATTCGTTTGTTTTATATCATTTATTTTCAGTGATTCAGAATGGTGGTTAGTTGAACATTCTGGACAAGTTGGTTACATTCCATCATCTTATTTAGCTCAAGCTAATTCGGTTGAAGCTGAAGAGTGAGTTATCATAATGTTCATTCATGCATGAATTAATCTTCTCGTTTTTAATAAAACAAAACGTGCTCAATGTAGTGAGTTTGTAATGATTGTTGAATTCTCATATTTTAAATCATGGATTGATTGTAGTTAGATAATCATTTAAAATCACATATTACTGCGTGGTAGTTTCATTCTAGTGCTTCCTAGTTTTCCGCAGTTGTCTAACTATGATCTTCTCATGATGTGAACTGTAAGAATGTACATATTTGTTTTACTTACCAGTCAATTTATCATGTACACTGATTTAAGACAATAAATACCATTACAGACATTGCTGAGTAGATGTTAAGGCACCACGAAATTTTTCACTCTTCTATAATATGAATAATATAGATGGAAATCAAATAGTATACATTTATTGTTTAACACAATAAATGGTAGTATTTTATCCAGTTCAATTTTATAAAATAGATCAACGGTAAATAAGGAATATCTATTTCTTAATTAATTGTTAGGTAGTGTTACTATATATATTCGCTTGATTAACATTATCCTGTCATCATTAAACATTCGATCAGCATGATGTTTGTCTTTATTCAGTAATGAATTTTTGTAAAAAAAAAGGAAGGAGAAATACCTGTCCGTTTATTCGGTTCGTTCTAATGACCGTGTTTGCTGTTGGTCGACTTCATAATATTCATATATCTTTTCCAGTTCTGAAGACTGTTGAACACAAAATAGCTATGAAATGATACAATATATTTTGACATATCAGTGTTTAGGGACAATTGTGAAAGGAAATGTAGATGTTTCAATTCGATAAAATTTTAAGAGCTCAAGGCAATTTCTAGAAGCATAGCATCCAGAAAATCTCAAATTAAAAGACTTGAATATAACTTCAGTTTTCTGTTTTACACGGAACAGATCAATAGACCATGTAGTTAGAAACTGAAACAACAAATTAAAATAATAAAACTTAAAATGACCATCATGTTTGTTTTAATACTTTAGGAATATCTAGGAAATTCACTTCTACATAAAGTAAGAATTAATAATATTGTTTAATATCACCGAGATCGAGATCAACATTGATTGTTTCAAAATCTCTTCTTTTTATTATATTGAAAATAAGTATTGATTAATTTTAGACTATGTAAGCTATTAATTTATCAAAACATTAATAATTTGACACGGGTCTGTTTTAACCCTATAGTATAGGGAACTTGAGTTAATTGTAAATTCACTTGGTACTTGTTTTACTTGTATTTTTCCATTGTTATTTATGACTGTAATTGATCATTCTCATGTTGGTATATGTGCATCCTTTGCAGATTGCGTTGATATAACCTTCAATCCCGGAGTAAACATCAACTCTGAGATGAAGGTACATCCAGCTAATGAGTCCCAAATAGGACGAAACGCTCATCCTGGACTCCACTACTAGCCACTATCCATCTTTGCTTGAGTTAATTTTATCTATTTTTTTTTCTTGGCCTAATATCGTGAGTTTCATTAGTCAATAATGGAATTCATGTAACACATTATCATCAATGCTTGTTTTAACGATATCCGTTGAAAAGGTTATAAATAAAGGCAATTATCCTACTGATATTTTGTTCAGTTTTTTTCTGTTATTTAAGATTGAATATATGGTACCTTTAACGTAAAAAAACAAGTTTTCTTTTAGTTTTTCTTTTCTTTTCACGTTATTAATAATAAATACCAACAACCTCCATGAAGTAATAAATTGTAATAAGGTCTAGTATAATACACCTTCTTGCTATAGCCGTGCACACATACATACACACACACACACACACACGAAAACTGACTAACAACATAACCTTTCTACATGAATTCTTCATAGATTTACAATTTACTAATAGTAATTATTGAGTTAAGTTGATTCATTTGTAGTATTTCAACATCACAATTGTAGATTCATTATCTATAAAGGTTATACATATCAGTTATAACTGCCTTTCATTCTCCACAAATAGAACTGGCATACAACTATAGTTTTTATGTATTAGTAAACATATTTATGTATAATGTGCATAGAAAATATTTTTTTAAGAAAATAATAATGATGAATTCATTCACTCCAGTATGAATCATGTATTGTTTATCACTGATTATCTCTTTGAATTTTCCTCTTTTCTCTCCGCTTTCATCATTCATGTTGTTGTTGTTGTTTAGATTTTCCTTCACCTCTTTTCATTTACACTTTGATAATTACACAATATAAATAAACAACACTAATAGTGATAACAAGAATGTTTGGTAAATAACAAATAAACAACAACAATAATAACAACAACAACAACTAATGATTGACCCAGTAAAAAGTAGTAACATGTAGATGATAAAAGCGAAATACAAAACATAAGTGTTACTTAATCTATAATTATTCACATATATTTTGTATAGTTAATAAATTATCATATAAATTGTATTCCCATTGATGTACAACTAGAAATAAATTGTAATATGTATAGATTAAGCCTTGTTACTATCCCCACTCTTAATCATTTAATCAAATAGTTGTTTATTATTTGTTTCTTTTTTCCATGTGGATAGTAAAACCAAATAAATCATAAGGAAAAAGATGTGAATAAACGAATTGATTTTTTACGGGAACATTTCAAATTCATGATAAAATACTGCTTGAATAATGATTATAATAATAATAGTATTTTCAATAGTTGAAATCATGATTCAACTGAAGCTAGACCATCATAGAAAACCTGGAAGCACTGGATGGCCGTTTGGTCCTATTGTGGGACTCTTGAGTGGTGTGCATCCACGATCCCGCTTGAGGAGATTCGAACCCAGGACCTATCAGTCTAGCTTCAATTGACTCATGATTTCAACTATTGAAATGACTGAAATCTCCACGAAACCCCTTCTGATAACAATCATCCGCTCACTGATGACTGACTTCAAGGGGCATTTCCTGGACTTCTAGTAAGAAGCCGCGACCAGTGAAGTTCAACCAGGTCTGTTGTGAGATATCAGCTCACTGAAGGCAATGGTGTACGGTGGTGCAATTTCGTCGATTGGTTGAGGTTAGACATTAACACCGTTGGATGCCGGCAGTCTCAGTGGTCTATTGGTTAAGCACTAGCGCTCGAGACTGATAGGTCTTGTGTTCGAATCTCGCGTTGCGCGATCGTGGATGCGCACTGCTGAGGAGTCCCATACTAAGATGAAACGGCTGTCCAATGCTTCCAGGTTTTCCATGGTTGTCTGACTTCAATTGACTGATGATTTCAACTATTGAAATTACTAAAATCTTCACAAATCCCCTTCTGATAATAATAGTATTCTAGAGCCAGAACTTGAATAAATATCCCAGTGATCATTCAGTAGACCATCAGTACTGTATAGATCGTAAAACTACCTTTTCACCTTATCCTCCGTCAAAAGATAATGAATTAATAGTTCAATACTAGATATTATTCAACTTCTCATTAACTTTGGCATAATCTAAGTATTACAAATTTCAATGAGACTATAATTTATAGACGACTTTTAAAGGACTCTAAAGTGACTTTGAAAATGTTCACTTATTAAAGCTAAATGAGGGTTACAAATCTATATGAAGAATAAAGATTATGATATATAGTTGATGGTTAAAATTAAGACTCCGATTTAGAGTTTTCATCACAAACTGATATCAACCAAATGAATAAACCAATTAAGCACCGAAATCTAAAATCTGTTACCTTAAATATGATTAGTTCGTCCATAAATTATACTCTTGCCAAAATTTCTTGATGAATTCATATAATTAAGTATCAATTTTTCTTAGAATTTCAACATATCATGAAATCTTGATTCTTTCTTCTTTCCATACACCATTTCCTTAATCTTTTTCAGTATCCAAGCAAAGATATATATCGTATTTTCTAAACCAATGGATGATATTTTATGTTATTCGTAGAATCGGTTCATTTAGACTACTTAGTAATTGAGTACCGTAAACTATATGATGTAATTTACAACCCTCGAATTCCCTGGTACGGCCAAAGGTGGGGAGAGTCAACTTTTCCTCTCGAAATGTTCTCACATGGCCACACGTATACAGCAACTGAGAGGGAATTCCCACTCACTGAGTTCTTGAGGCATTACTGTTGTTTACGAAATTGAGAGGACAAAAAGCGAATGTCCGACGCTTTAACCGGGTTGGTGGTTATGGAGGATCTACCTAGGAGAGTTGGAAAACCCTCATTCCAAACCAATGGTGCACATGGGCTCCAGTATTCTGAAGGAACAAATGGTGTGTGAACCAATTATTGGTCATCTTCCAACATGAGATTGCATCTCCTTACGTTGCTTCACTGCCTTGTGGATCAGACTTTTAGGTCGAAGACTCTGGGTGTGGCCCCCCAAGAAAATTACGTGGTTCGGTTTGGGCACTGAAGCAATATCACAGCCCTCAAATAAATCAAGTGAGATTTGTGTGGCGCACATGTATCTGGTGACCCCTTATACCAATATCTTTGTGTTCAAATAAATAAAGATGTAATTTATAAATCACTTGTCAGTTAGTAATATACCTATACATATTAAATGTTTGACGATTAGTTAGGCATAAGTTTTATTGTTTCCATCTCAAGTCTAAAGATGATATGAATTGGGAAAAATAACACTAACCAGTTGTAAGTTTATGGATTTTTGTAAACATCTTTTAACTTATTATTGCTAAATGAAGCATTAAAATAAAATGAAGTTGTTTCAACTTCCAACTTCTTGAAAGTGACCATTCAAGCATGAAAATCAATAAACAAATACCAACAATCCTTTTTTTAATTTCAAACCCTTCGTAATATATTTAGTCGTACGCCTATCGAACTATTATTCAGTTAGTGACTATACTATTATTATTGTAAGACAGAAATGTTTTACACTTCATTACTCTCTGATTAATGATTGTCATCGTTTTAACAATCTTTTAGGTAAGTTTTAAAAAGTACAAAATTTATATTCAAGGATTATATTTATGATTACAACAT